CTATTGGTATCATTGAGGATATTTAATCTTCTTTACTATCGGTATTGTATTTTTCATTTGATTATAGACAAATATCTTATATCCGTTTATTGTTCTTTTAATTTTCTTTATAACTTATTTGATTTTTGAAAGTATTTGAACTGATGGATTAAATTCTATAGAGTTCCTTGTGTAAAGAAAGGAGGGGTGAGATTCACTGTGAATGGACGAGACTATTTTGAGCTGGTTTTGATAAGCAACGTGGGAGGAGCTGGAGACATCCAAGCGGTGTCGATCAAGGGCTCGAAATCAAGCCAATGGATGGCGATGTCGAGGAATTGGGGCATGAATTGGCAGTCAAATTCGTATCTAAATGGGCAAGCTCTGTCGTTCAAGGTGACCACGACCGACGGGCAGACACAAGTGTTCAACAACGTTGTCCCTTCGAGCTGGAGGTTTGGGCAAACGTTTGGGAGCAGTGTCCAATTCAGCTGATTGGGGTGGTCGGATTGGCAGAGGCGAGCCAAGTGGGGTTTTTTTTAAAGCTACGGAAGCAGCCCGCCACCTTAATGTCAGCCCGCCACCAAGCGGTCGCTTCACAACTTCGAGATGTTTAATTACTCATATAAGTGTTTTTTTTTTTCTTTTTTTTACCTTTTAAAGTCAATTTGTAACGTTATTAATATAAAAAGTTATATAATTTATATATATATATATATATAGAAGCTTTGTTTTGTCTGCTTAAATTATTTTTTGTTCGACCCTTTCTCGTCGATAAGAAGCCTATTTTCCGTTCTAACTTGGGAGTCAAAACGATAACGTATGCTACCTATTATATTGAACTTTTGAAAGTCCCACATCGACTAATTTAGAGAATGATCATGGACTTATAATCCAGGAATATTCTCTCTATTGGTATAAGAAATTTTGGGGAAAACCCAAAACAAAACCATAAGAGCTCATGCTCAAACATGACAATGTCATACCATTGTGGTGAGTCGTGTTCATCTAACATATCGAACAAATTAAAATTTTGATATTACAATAAATAAATATATAAAATTTCTCATCTCGGCGTGAAATGAACATTTTACTTATTAGTTTACTAATTATCTTAGTTTTATTGTTAATTTTTTTTATCGTGTCACTAATCCAATATGTATGGTGTGCGATCAAATCATTTGTAATAATTTAATAAACTAATTATAAAAAAAATCAATAATTTTCTTTTCTTTATATTTAAGTAAACTATGATTATCGTGTATTACAGTTCTAATGCTTCACTTTGTCACTTCTCCGACCACGTGTTGTATATATATCCAGACTTTCAATATTATCGTGCTAATCATATATTATCACATTAATAAATAAATTAAAATTAAAATTAAAAAATATATAAATAAACCAATTATTGATAATTAGTTATGAATAATGAATTTGGTCTTTGAAATTGAGGAGTCGTTATAAAGTGATTATTGACCACTTAACTACTCCCCTTTCCCTTCACTTCATTTTTATTTATTTATTTTTATTATAATTTAAATAATTAACTATTTATTATGATATATATTGGTTGCTTTTACATCAAGGGATCAGATACGCCAATCACGGAAATTCATTGACCATTTTTTAAATTATTATTTTATCAAATTAAATTCTAAAATTAATCCCGAAAAAATGAATGTTTTGACACTAATCGTGTACGTTCATGTTGTATATGTATGCATGTCTGTCTCCATTAAAACGATTACTTGCACTAGTGACGAGTTGTATATTGATTGAGCCATAGGGTTCGTGTGAGCATGAATTTCTGCATTACGTCACGAGATGACTCAGGTGGATGGTTCTCTTTCCCTCCCTTTGAGATCACGAGAAGGGTTCATCAACGGGGTTGTGATTGAATGGTAAGTGGTAGAGTAGAGGTCATTATGATCTCGATTCGAGAAAAAGACAAAGCACTTTGCTTTAATAGGACGAGTGGTTTTGGATCACCAAATATTCCAACAACCTTCTCCCTCACCATAACCACTCTTTTCACTTCCCTTTTCCATACATATAAATACTCTCATCTCTTCCAAGTCTCCAACACTTTCTACCATACAACCATGTCTCTCTTCTTCACCTTTCTTCTCCTCTTTTCTTCCCTCCTTCCGTCTCTCAATGCCTTGACCTACCGCTATTACGACCACACGTGCCCTAATCTCGAGTCCATCATCGCCCGAGAAGTCCACCTAGCCACCGTCAACGACAAGACAGTTCCTGCTGCGCTACTCCGAATGCACTTCCATGACTGTTTCATTAGAGTAAGTAAATGGTTAAAAGGGTTCGGTTAATTCACTGTAGTTCGTATGGATTTTGATGTTACGAGACATTTTCTTTCTGTTTTGAAGGGTTGTGATGGGTCTGTGCTTCTCGACTCCAAGGGGAAGAACAAGGCGGAAAAAGACGGCCCTCCTAATATATCGTTACATGCTTTTTACGTCATTGATAAGGCTAAGAAAGCTATTGAATCTGCTTGCCCTGGTGTTGTTTCTTGTGCTGATATCCTAGCTCTCGCTGCTCGAGATGCTGTTGTTGTGGTAATTCGTTATTCAATACCTAACATTTTTTTGTTTTTACTTATTGGGTGGAGAATAAACGGTTTGTTATTGGAATCAGTCGGGAGGTCCTCATTGGGAAGTTCCGAAAGGAAGAAAAGACGGAAGAATCTCGAAAGCAAATGAAACCATACAATTGCCTTTTCCCACATTCAACTTCTCCCAACTCCAACAAAGCTTCTCTCAACGAGGTCTTTCCATACAAGATCTCGTAGCTCTATCAGGTAAACGTCGTATTAAATCATCACTAAATCAAAGACTCGAACACGATCGATTATTCTAAACGGATAAGTTACGGTGCATTTTTAGGCGGACACACGTTAGGATTTGCCCATTGCTCATCATTCCAAAACCGAATCCACAATTTCAACTCGACCGTCGACATCGACCCGTTGTTGCAGCCATCATTCGCCGCCAGTCTCCAGAGCATATGTCCAGCTCACAACAAGGTGAAGAACGCCGGCTCCCCTATGGATTCAACTACCACGGTGTTTGACAATGCATACTTCAAGCTGCTTCTTCAAGGGCGGAGCATTTTTTCTTCCGATCAATCTTTGCTTTCAACTCCGTATTCAAAGGCTTTGGTTTCTAAATTCGCCAATGAACAACGCCACTTTGAGAAGGCGTTTGTGAAGTCCATGGTCAAGATGAGTCGGATCGCCGGCGCCGGCGAAGAAGTCCGGCTAAACTGCCGGGTGGTCAGATAATATTGTAATTTTTGGATTTTTTTTTTTTAAAATTGTGTGGAGTGATTTTGGAAGCTTAGAATTGTGTGTGCTTTTGAATTATGTATTTAATTATGGGAATATATTTTTTTTTTATCTCTTTTATTTACTTTAATTTTTTTTAATTATATATTAATTTAAAAATTGATTATTTTATTTTTTATTTTTGGAATTGGAAAATAAAATTTGTGGTTAAATTTCATTTACTTTTTTCTTCTTTTCACGACTTTATCCCTTTTTTTTTTCTCGAGAAAGGGGACAGCAAGTAGTTAATGAAGTCCTTGATTTCCATTACCCAAAAATAATAATAATTTAATATTATTAATAATCCCGTCATTCTTTTGCATTCTTACGAATCTTTTACGTCTCGGTGTAGCTCTACGTGTCAACTAGCAAGAGGTTTAGACACACTTATAAACAATATTTCGTTTTCTTCCCCAACCAATATGAAATCTCGCCAAAATTAAAATAGATTATTTAAAGCTAAAAAAAAGTCATTTAATCGGGCGGAATTTATTATAGAAATTTCACAGGTGGCATTTATGAAGCGAATCATATGAGTCACGTGACAGTCCCAATGAATCTTGTGATAAAAATGCAGAATACCAAATAAAATAACCGCTGTTTTATTTTATTATTTTTTTTTTCTATTTATCGAGTTAAATTGTATTTAATAAGTGAACTTTAATTTAGTAAGTTTTTTTTTTTCTATAAAACAATATAATTTAATTTAAATTAAATATTTACTGATTTATTTTTTTTAGTTTCGAAAATATATTGGTTAATTAATTAAATTATATTTAAATTGGCGAGAAAGCATCCCTAAATTATGTTATGAATTATAAAAACAATGGAAGTTATTGCAATAAATAAATAAATAAATTATATATATATATATTTCATGAAAAATTAAAGAAATAATAAAAGAATAATTTTATATAAAAAAAATATTTCTTTTTTGCTCGTTTCTTTTCCCGAGAAATCAATTGAAATTGTGGGCAGGAGCAGCCCAACTTGTTTTGCCCCATCCCCCTCCGACAATAAATAATCTGTAAATTTATTTATTTATTTATTTATTATTATTATTTATATTCATCTTTTTTTTTTTCTCTCTTTTCTATAAAATTTGTTATTTTTCGAATATAAGAAAATTTAATTAATTTTAAAAAACTCTACTGGAAATTTTATCGTATTTTATGATTAGATCATAAAAAAGATTGTTCGTGAGAGGACAACTCGTACTTAAGGTTTAAGATGTAATAACAATGACAGAACGAGCTTTTAACTTAATTGTAATTACGAACCATTCATGAAATATTGACTTGGATGTAGTGGTCGAAATTCGAACATTTGAATCCTATAAGTTCTACACGTAAAATTCTTTAAGAATTTACGTGAGGTCTTACATTGGTTGTCATTTCTTATAAGGGTGTGGAAACTTCTTATTTAACATACAAGTTTTAAAACGGTGTGGCTAATGACGATACGAAATGGACCAAAGTGGATAATATCTGCTTTTTGCTGGGCTTGGGCTGTTACAAATAGTACTAGAGTCAACCAGACATTGAGTTTTGTGTTCGTGAGAACGCTAGGTCTCCATGAGGCGGATTGTGAGATCTCGCAATCGTGAGGCTAACAATAGTACGTAACGGACTAAAATGGACAATAACTACTAATCGTGAGTCTGTATTCACATGATTCTATATTCATCAACCATCCGTTCAATCCTTAGCTTCCACAATTTCATTCATAACAAGTCTTCTAGACCTGTTTATGGTAACAAAACACAAATATATATGTTGTTGAAGCTCCTTCATTTGCTCAACAATGGCGTCATCTTCTTCAACAAACTCCTTCAATATCTCACGCATTCTGCCGCTTCTCATCCACATCCCGCCCACCGCCCTGAGATGCTCCACCTCGCCATCGAGCCTCACCGCCATCCGACTCAACGTGTCCAAATCATTCATGGTTATATACGTCGCCCTCGCCGCAATCTCCATTTGTCGTAGAATCCCCTTATGATCTCTCCTCTTCTTTTTCAAAGAACCTACGAAGCAAACGATCAACCCTGGCATCGCCACGATCCCGACAAGACTATGCAATGCCAAAACTAGTAGCGTGATTAGAACCGCCGCGTTCGATATCACGAAACAACCTGTGGCTACTTTCTTCCTAAAACATCTTAACCTAATTTAAGAATACAGACTAAATTATTCATTTAATCTATAAAATTCTAAAATTTACTCTCTAACTCATTAGCTTAAACTTACCTCAACTTTTTTCGAGTTTCGTTCCGTAAACACGAGAGTTTACGAAGCAATTCGGAATGGAGGTCGTGTAAGCTAAGAAACAACTCCTTATAAACCATTCCATTATTATTGGAGCTTTGATTGTCGTCGTCGGCCATTGAAGCCGTGGTGGCGAGCTTGACAACGGCGTGGTTGATGCGTGTTTGATGGACAGCTTGAAGGAGAAGTTGGCAAGCTTTGAAAGCTTGAAAACTGGCTTCGAAATATTCAAGTAGAAGAGGGTGGACATGGCGGCCATTACAGCTCCGAAGCATGTCGTGAAGAAGCTTTTGGTCTGGTTCGAGCCGACATGGCGGTGGCGGTGGCGACGACGACGTGTTATTGTCTTTGTAGGTGGTTGTGAATTCAATGAAGGAGGTGGTTCTGAAGGCTTGTTTGTACTCTTCGTTAATGTTTAACTTGCGAGACAAGGCATTCATAATAGCCTTGTTTTTGTCGGATGATGATCTGTCTGTGACCAAATCATAACCATTTATCCATTAGATTATGGATTAAAAAAATATTAAATAATATTTATAGTGTTAATTTTAAAAAATTTAGAAATCAAATAATTAATTTAATAAAAATTATAATATAATATAATTTTAATGCTGACCTGTTTTATTAAAGAGGCTGATCCAATGAGCAGTTTTCATCTTGGGAACCCTAAATGTGGATTTTGGAATTGATGGGGGTTTGTTATTTATATGCAAGGCTAGGCCAGAAGGAAAGGAGAAGGGAGACACGTGGCAGGATAGGAGAAGTCCAGAAGGAACGAAGAGGGGCCACGTGGCGATTAGTGTCCGGCTGCATTCCTTGGTTATTTTATCACTTTCTCTACACGTTTATCGTCCCTCACACGCACCATCCTCCGCGTCTGATACACTTGCTTCTTTCTCCTTCTAATTATATATATATATATATATATAATTTTTTTTCCCTCAAAAAAATCATTTTTGTTGTTGTTGTGTATTTTTATTTTTTAATTTTGCTGGCAATCTCTTATTTGAAAATATATATTATAATCATTTCAGATATGCTCAAATTGGTCGCTGTATTTAAAATCTTGTAACGATAAACTTTGCTCTTTACTTAAAAAAATATTGTATTTGTGAGATCGAAATCGGTTGTAGAGGGACGGAATATTTCTTATAAGAGCGTAAAAACCTTTCATAAGCAGATGCGTTTTTAAATCGTGAGACTGATAGCGATTCGTAACGAGCAAAACCAGACTGTTATAATATTTATTTTAAAATTTTCAAAGGTTATATTTGACCTTTCATAAACATTTCAAAACTACTGGAAGAAAAATTTAGAATATTTGACTAAAATTTGATAATATTGGAAATGATAGTTTTAAAATGCTTAAAAGAGGTGAAGGGTAATATTGGAATTTTTGAAAGATAAGGGTGTTTTTGAAATAATTAGATATTTATACTGGCATGGTAATTACATATAAAAGAACCTAAAGAAATGCATTGATTTTCTAGGAAGATGATATCATCGAGGGGAAAAATGAGAGATGGCGTGGTAGCGATGGAAGCCTAGGAAGACGTGATTATCATCGGTGGAGTAGAGGGAAGAGCGAGAGTTGACTGCAATGGAGGTGAGGGACGACACGACAACGACGATGAGGGATTATGTTGACGAAAAGAGAGGATGGCAAGGAATTGTGTCGAATGTTGAACGAGATAAAATGATAGAGGATGAGGGAGGGAGCTGCACGTGTACGTGAAGATGTGGAAGGTTGGACTAGGCAATTTTATCTCACTTGTCAAATGACAAGTCAATTTTGTAATGAACAAATCGATCAACTGATCGACGAGTTACTTATTCAATGAACAAATCGATCCGATCAGTAAAATTTTAAATTACACGATAAACACCTTAATTTTTTAACTTCACTCCAAACTCACGATCCTACCTATTTTTCTTTTCAATAATTCTTTTAATTTCAAGCTAACAAAATAATTTTTTATTTTCAAATGGAAAAAATAAATAATATTTAATGTAAATATAAAGTTCAAATTATCTACACCTGATGATTAATTATTTTAAATTTATTTATTTTAGAATTAATCAAATCAAAATTACAAAAATTATGTTAATTTTGTTTTATTGTTTTTTACGATTTAGCGTTAAACCCTAAAAGACATAAAATTGGCGTTCGTCTCTGCAGCGCCAATTGATAGCAACATTCCGATGATGGGGAAGGTGGCGATGGGTGTGTGAGGTTGTCTGAGTGGGCAGCAAGAAGAAAAGTTCACCGTCCAAAGAAAACCACTCGCCGGCGAAGATGACTCTTCACTCCATTGTGATTCAGAAGCTACTGAGCACCAAAGCTCATGTCGGCCGGCAAGCTGCCACTCACCATTTCAAGTTATATACCTATGGATTTCGCAATCGAATGGCCATTATCGACTCCGATAAAACCCTAATCTGTATGCGCAATGCCTTGAACTTCATTGGCTCATTGGTCCGCCAGAAAGGTCGTTTCATGTTCGTCAATACCAATTGGCTTTTCGATGAAATTATTGAAGAAATGACGAAGAAGATTGGATGCTATAGCCCTAGCGCCACTGCACTTTGGAGGATGAGTGGAATTCTCACTAATAGTGCAAGTCCTAAGAAGTTCAAGTCGAGGCATAAGAGGCTCTGTTTTGGACCAACTCAACCGCCCGATTGTTTGGTGGTTATAGATACGGAGAGGAAATCATCGTTGATTATGGAAGCAGATAGATTGCAGATTCCGATTGTGGCTCTTGTGGACTCGAGCATGCCATTGGAGATCTATAAGAGGATTGCTTATCCTATTCCGGCCAATGATTCAGTTCAATTTATCTATTTGTTCTGTAACTTGATAACGAAGACATTCCTTTACGAACAGAAGCGCTTGGCTTCTACTAGTGCAGGTGCCGTCAAAGAAGACCTTCCCAAATCTCAACCAAGGTACAATTTTCAGTTTTTTTTTTTTTTTTTTTAAACTCCTTGGAAGTCTTAGATTAATGAAGATTGAGACTTTCTGCATTATTTTTGCATTATTTGTAAGAGAGAATCTGGATCAAGTAGAGGAGCAGGCCAAAAGCATTGATTTTCTGAAGAAAGAAGTGCTTCTTGTTCCATATGAGAGTTTAGCAACAGTGCCAGATGGTAATATGTAGTTTTTGCTGAACCATTTAAAAAAATTTCACAGCATGGAAATGATATCACGTCTAATGATTCGATATTTCTTATGTTGCAGACATTGCAAAAACTAAAAATCTTTTGGACAAGCTCGTTGTTTTGAAGTTCAATGGAGCTTTGGGCACAGCAATGGGTTTTAATGGGCCCAAGTAAGCATCATTCTTAGTTCCTAAACTATATACAATTAAGTGAACTTATTAAATTTGGAGTGTTTTTGTGATTCAAATGTATACGATGTATATCTAAGCTTAAGTAGCTATTCAGTATTTTTTACATTGATGAACTCACAGAGTTTGCCTTGTTCATTTAATGGTATAGTTCCAACTGTCAGGATTTGGTTTTTTTCAAAAGTTCGGTTTCTTATAAAGAAAAATATCATAGCTGTTGTGAAATATCTCCTTTATGTAGAAAACATGTCGTCTGTTAAAGTAGTGGACAATACAAAATTTGAACTATGGTAAATATATTCTGGTTGTCTGCATCTCGGTGCAATGTTAATCTTTCTATTTATCTTTAAAATTATCTTTCTATTGTACCTTCTAATATGGGCGTGCCAATTTTAGTCTGCTTAAACTGCAAGGTGGAGTAAGATTTACGAACCACACATGCTTTTCTTCATTAAATCAACTTTGGGATTTAACATCATCTTTCATCCTGTAATAGGTTGTAAAGAATACTGCAACTTGCACTAAATGAAATTGTACAAGTTAATTATATTATTCTCCATAGATATTTGGCTATAGCATACCAGCTCTTCTTGTACTGTATTTTCATGATGTTTTCTATAGGCATTAAACCTTCTCGATGTTAAATCTGGAAGGTGGATGAGCAGGTTTGTTTGATATCTTAACTGGAAAATGTGTCTGGCTTGTGCTTTCATCCATCATTTTAACGTTGGAAAGTTCAATACTAATACTGGAAAATGGTCTATTATGCAGATCTGCACTCAAAGTTTGTGGTGATTCAACACCCATTGACTTATTTCTTGAGCAAATTGAGGTCAGTTTTTCTCCAGTGCAACTAAGTGAGCCATTCTCATTGTGTCTACTTAATAACTAGCTGATAGGTGCTACCATTTTAATTTCAGTCCCTAAATGCTAAGTATGGATGCAATGTCCCACTGATGCTCTTGGATTCTTTTGAAACTCACGATGAGACATTGAAGGTGATATATGATTCTATACCTTATAACTGTCTTCACTTGTATATACCTCAGTGTTCTAATTGTCATTCATAATCTGTAGGCCGTGGGAAAACATAAGAAGTCAAAAGTTGATGTCCATTCTTTAATTCAGGTATATGAATCTAGAGCTTATTTATCAGCTTTATGTTATATGAACAGAAGTCTTAGAGATTTAATTTGCGGTTAAAATATTGTTTGTTTATTCAGGGACAAAAGTTGCCACTGGACTCATCTCAAAAGCCAAGGGAAGATGATGATTTGTAAGTTACTCTGTTTTTGTAATTTTACTTTTTTCTTTCTAAGAATAAGAAACCACTTTCTATAGTTCTCAGGAGCATCTCCTTACTGAGAAAACTTTGGAGTATGTTTTTTCTATTGTTCTTATGCTTCTCGGCTTGGGAGTAAACATTATCAGGGGACAAGAAAAAGAGAAACCAACTTGATTGGTGAACCAGGAGTGANGGGGGGGGGGGGGGGGGGGGGGGGGGGGGGGGGGGGGGGGGGGGGGGGGGGGGGGGGGGGGGGGGGGGGGGGGGGGGGGGGGGGGGGGGGGGGGGGGGGGGGGGGGGGGGGGGGGGGGGGGGGGGGGGGGGGGGGGGGGGGGGGGGAGAAAACTGCCATCTATGATTTATGTGTAATTATCCAATTCTTCATCACATGTCATTTGGAATTTGTAATTTGTTCTATAATCTTCCATCAACTGGATACCTGCACTCTCTGGATAATTTGCAGAATTTTGCATATTCTTTGTTTCTAAAGCAGCATAATTTTTAAGATTACAGCTTTCCATTAAGAGAGAAGGTACAAGGGAAGACAATAGATAGGGGTGTGGGCTCTTCGGTATTGACTCTACCTATTAAACCGTGGTGCAGACACTGTTTTTTAGATATTTTTGATTTCTCATGTGTTAACACCCCATGCTTTAGGGACTAGTTTGGGTTTGTCTTAAATTTTCACGTATGATACCATTACCACGGTAGCGCCAAGGCACACCAATATTTATTATTAGAAAGGAAGTTCGTGCTGATCATGCAATACATAAAATGACAAATGCAAAGTGGGGTACCACTTGTCCACGTTTTTATGAAATATCATGATTGTTTGGCACTCTGCATATTCTTATTAAATCACATTGATAAGAACAAATGTGTGCTTGTGTAATATTTTCTTATTTTTTATGTCGTTAATGGAAAATTTCTCCTACTCTTTTGTAAGTAATGCCTTGGACCAATGACCTCGTGATATACACTTGGATAGGAAAATTGAAGCCTCATGACTGTTTGTTTGGTCTG